GCCTTCCAGCTTTTGATGTCGCACGTTTCGCACAAGTCTTATTAGCTTCAATATGTCTCTGCATCGTAGAAATGCCGTTGTTTCCACATTTAGGATGTTTCAATATGCCTCCACATGATTTGCAAATAACGCACGGCGCGCCGGTCCTGAAATCTGCTGCCTGTTCAAAATGCTTCCAGGCTTCCGCCTTTCGGTTTGAAGAATCCCACGCGATGTTACAGGGGATTCTCGTGGCTCCGTTATTGCACGCCCATTTTGTGGTCTTCCACCACTCCAGGAAGGTCGTTGCACCCTCTGCCGACCACTGGATATAGGACCCATTTTTCACATAGTGTAAACCAGCGATGTTGGGTCTGGAAGGTGTAGATTCAACGCTACTAGATTGTGTGGAGGACGATGATGCATCAGTGCCAATCCGGCTACCAGGCTCTTCATCGCTGATGGGGCTCGTTTGAGACATTTCACTTGAGAAAGACATTGTTAAAAATGGTGCCAATAGTGAAAGAATGTACGAGAAATTGCGGTGATATTTGCAGTGATAATTCAGCACAGCTTGTTAGATTAAATAGTATTATGGAACTTACGACTCAAAACCATCTGGTGCGAGGAGTATCCTGCCCACCACATCCCGCCCTTGCACGAGTAACTACCCTGGACGATACTCCTGACTGAAGTCTCCATCAAGCTCTGCACTATACTTCCTCTTTCTTTTGAAGAGACCACCCATCCTGCATTCCTCTCAACCAAACCTGCTCTTTGAGACATGTTTGCCAGTCCGAAGGGATTGCTTTGGCTGTGGATCTTGGTTGACACAAGGAATGCTACGTGCCATGGGGTAGGCTTTCCTGCTCGCTCATGAGTTTGAGTCGTCTGAAGCGTTGGAGCTTTTCGTCAGTCCCATCCCTGTCTAGGGGTACCCTGCCTGTCAAAGAGAACCGTGGCGATGGTATGATCTTGGTAAAATGGTTCGTCACTCTCGCAGTCCAATGAGTGTTAATCCTTGAGATTATTGAGCATGTGGGTTATGATCATCTACACGCACATTAGCCAGCCATCCTATATGTATCGGGAAGATGGAAGTCAGGCATGGGGGGGTTTCAGGTCCGTCTCCATCCATCTAATTCATTTCCTGTCGCTTCGATCCATTTGGCTTAATTTAGGTTTTCCCCGAGCGTAGATTCCCTGAAAAGACAAAGAAATAAGTGTTTTATCACCGTTTTAGCTTTTGCCGGCCGGGCCGGAAAAATCGAGTTTCTTTGTTCTGTCATCGCTGGATTTTGAAAGATTTCTTTGTCTCGTGATTCTGAAGTTGATTCTTTGTCCCGCATATCCTATCCTTCCTGTTTTCTATTGGTCACTTTTTTCATCCCTCATTTCTTTGTTCCGTCGATCGTGGTAGTATTTAGAAGGACCTAGATCCTGCCCATTTAGATTTGACCGGCCGGGCCGGTGAAATAACCATTTCCTTTGGGAAAGTATCAATCGTCTAACTTTCTGCATAATACCTTGCATCCAGGAATGATTGGCGCTCTTGATGGATCGATGACGTTGGAGGGAGGGGGCCTAGATTGGGAAGGCTTACCAGATTTTCGGAGCGCCGGCCATGCCATATCATTCCTAGAGACGGTCAGTGAAGACTCGCGATATCAGGTACAGCTCTGGGCCGCCTCTTGTCTTCTGCGGCAGCAAACTTCTGCCGCAGAAGAAGTCGAAGCATTATGGAATGTGCTCCGTAAGGATCATATATGGCGGCAGAAGGTGCAAGATGGACATGATAGCGCCGCTTGGGATGAAGTGCAGGAGGTGGCCAAAGTCGCCCGTCAAAAGCGAGAGCGCAATGAAGAAGCTCGGCGCACTATATGCGAGCGCTGGGGTGATGGAAACGCGAAAATCCTGATGGCAGACGTCGAGACATACAATACCTTGTGTGCCATCCGCAAGCTGGCTTTACGAATGAACGTAGTTGATGCGTTCCACGGGATCAACCGCGCTCTGTTGGAAAGACTTCGAAATCCAGCTCGTGGAGTATCCTCTCGTCCCACTCTCCAGGCAATCGACTTCTCGCGAGTATCAGATGGTCGCATCGGAACACATCCGTTTGATGCGAATGAAGTGATTGAGCTGAGGCGCATTGCCGGGATTAGTGCCATCGTTTGTCCTGTGACGGAGCCGGTCCCTCAAGGCGCTTCCCATACTTTGGATCCGCGAAGAGCATTCCAAGGTCCACTGGCCAACATGGTCCCATCGCCGACACCTTTACTGGAACCCTTGTCTCCATTATCAACCCAATCACGAGAGGAAGCATCGTGGGTCAACCACAACTGCAAGGACGGGCTCTGGAATGTGGGTATTCCGATGTTAGATGGCGAAGCGACCGTTGACACCGAAAATACAAACCGGGAGACACTCTTCTTGCAATCCTCGCATGACAATGCTATAGACGAGCCTTGGTCAGACAGCTCTCTCAGCTCTCTGCCCGACAGCTCTGATTCGTTTCTCAGCTCCGACTCTGACACGTCTATGAGCTCTGACCGTGACACAGACTCCGACTCTGATTACACGGATAGTGATAAAACGTCACTCAGAACCTCTCGTGGACGCTGTCAATGCTCGTGTAGGCAGAATGTTCCGATCGATGTTCGTTGTCGGATTCATGCCGTTAAGTTGAGAGGTCAAAGTTCAGCTTTAAAGCTTCTAGCTCACGTATTTGGTCGCGGTCTAAAAATAGAGGACATTTGTCATATTCATCTTCGGCGGCTGGCCGGTGGTCTCGGGCTGAAAACGAACTTCTCAGGAAGCCTTTTGCGCGACCGCCTGGCGAGAGTATATGAGAATCGAAAAGACATTCGGGTTTTGACGACTGGCAACAATACTTTCTCCTGGTTCCGACGTGATTCACGTCCCGTAAGGGAAGAAGATCTTCTCAGCGCATATCGGTTCTCGTCAATCCCTGTAAAAACGTTCAGCTTTGACGCAAGGGCCGTGTTTGGCCGCTTCCTTGGCAGAGATGCGGATGGCATTCAAGAGGCCTGGCATTCTAATGGGTCGATTACCGTCCCAGGGATATTTCGCTGGTGGTGGGAAAGCCAATCTGGTCTCATCGCGAAAATCGTCCAAGATGAATTCGACATGTACGATCATCATCTTCAAGCTTCAAATGGGAAGCCTAATTATGGGTGGTTGCGCAACATGTTCCATTCGTTAGCACAGCAGCTGATGCGACAAGATCCCGTTTATTATGCCCTCTACTGCGCTCTTCGTCCAGACCAAGCTTGGCGTCTGATCAGTTATCCTTATTACACCAAGTACGCTCGTCAGAACGATTCCACTTATTTTCGCCACATTGATATTAACATACCTCGATGGATTGAGACGGGCGTGGGGGGAAACTTGATCCAGGGCAGCATGTCCCTGGATGATGAAGATGAGCTAAACACGACAGAGCTGTTGATGGGTATGCATCATCACCTGCATACCTGGTGGGCCCTCGTTGAGGAACGCGGTCTTTCGGTTCGAGCTCCAGTAATTCGAATCACAGATGCAATGTATACGGCGGAGGATCAGGATCGGTTTGGTTGTCGCTGGACCGCTCAACCCTGCAAAGCTGGTGACGTTCGCATTACCTCGCCCCTGCTTCCACATGGAAGCACCGGCCCTGCCACCCGCCGTCGAAGGACCATGCTTCCTTGGTTCGTCGCGATAGGTGACGATCATCTTACTCTTGATGTGCAAGAATCAGGAACGTGGGAAGATCTCGCAGCTGCACATCGTAACCTTGAATGTGCCCCGCGTACGCCGTCAGGTAAGCCGGTCCTATATGCAAAAGCGCCATACCGCTTTCCCGCGGCTACAGAATTGATGAACCTAGGCGCTCTATCAGACGCTTTGGTTGGCCGCAGGCAATGGACGTCCCCCGCGGTGATGGCTGAACGTGATCTGGTACTGGGACGAGATGATAAGGCCGCGCTGGCCTACGTGGAGAATTGGCGGAAGAATGCGCTCCTGTCGTTTTCCCAAGCTTGGTCGTTAGTTGTTGCAGCAGAAAAGGCCAGATTTGGGACTCAGTCTTACTTTTATTGTCGGGATCATGATGTCGAGCCCGTGAGCGGCTGAAGTATGGGTAGAGCATCATTCTCGATTATCTCATAGCCACCGATCACGTGGAAAGCTGGTTTCTCGTCGCATTCAAGCATACTTACGCCTTCTCTTATTACCAAATAGGTTGTCATGACAATCTACGATTCCAGATCCCCGTTATGATGATTTTAGTTAGTGGATAATGAATAGAGTCATCTCATTCCCGCGTACTCTTCTTAACCTCAAATTAGGCTCTTCATTCTCTTGGGTAGCATGCATGAGACACATAAATGTAGAATCCATCGGTTGTAAACTTAATACCATTTCATATATAGAGAAATAAAATAATTAACCTGACGAAGAAAATAGTATTTAATTAGGTTAAGCTAAATATTTAAACGTAGTCAAATTAAAAAATAATAATACCATCTGGTCATCACGCCTGATACATCAATATCAATGGTATATTTATTGGTATCCTTAACAAATAGTCAAATGTGCTTTGCAATGCCGTTAATAATCTATTATATAACTATGGGCTACTTTTCTCACCATCACCATTTCCAGATGGCCCTACAAACGCCTTGGAGAACGCTATACAAAATCCAAGTAACACCTGCAGATGAATGGTTACTAATCGTTATTTAGACCTAGATTGTCTCATCTAGCTATACCACTTCAAAAGGGTTTTTGCAAGGTTGGATTGTGGTAGAAGGGCTAGTCTTCCTGGCCACACCCGATTCCAATCATCAGGGATCTCACCATCCCGGAGACGTGTCAATGCCATGGAAAAGACATTTTCCTGCCCTTCATCCTCCATGGCCACGGTCCACCCATATTTGTCAAGATTGTAGTCTTCGGACCACCATTCTGCGGGTCCTGGAAGAGTCACCCATTCGTTCTCTTTGCCGTCTATCCAGCATGCTAGATTTCTCCAAACCTCAATCTCTGCGGGTGTATAATACTGATGAGGTTGGAGATGCTCAACAATCTCGGCTGATTTGCCAACAAAGAACCACCTAGGCCAATTAGCCATCGGCCCTTGCTTCCTCATAGCGGCCTCCTTGCTGCAAAATGACCGGATGGCTCGCCTCCAATATGCTTGCCAGGCCCTGAATTCAATGCTAACCAGCTGCATTGCCGCAGCTTTTCGAATCTGATAGGCTTGTGCCTGTGCATCCCAAGCGGACATTTCTGGTATGTCTCCTTCGTTCTCTAGGTCGTCTGCCCTCTGACGGAGTTCTAGATCCGGATCATCCTCATCCAGGATATCCTCCCAGGCGGTGTTGCCATCTGCCCATTGCGCGTAGAGCCCGCCCTCCTCTCCGTATCCTAGAGATTGCATAATGTACGTGGCGCTTACTCTGTCTATCGTTCTGCTTCTCATTAGTCGCCATCGCTCCAATGATCACCACAAAGACGCCGCAATAACGCTTACCGACGATGCATTACGTTGGACGTGGTGACTTTTTCCAGTTCTGCTCGCTTTTCTTCATTCGCTTCTATGTATTCTTTGGTCGTCTTAAGTTTTCGTATCGCCCGATTTCTTGCATGGCGATCGTTGTTTTTTGCCTTTTCTATCTCCCTCTCCATAGTGGTCATGGTTCTGACCCTATCTCTGTGTCTTTTTGCATAGACACTCTGACTCAGATCTTCTTCTGCTTTGCGTTTGTTGGCAGAGCCTTTCGGTCGGCCACGAGCGCGACGCTGGCTGCATTCTTCTGTCATCTTTGCTAGAACTAGATCCAACAAGGTTAGCAATATCCAAATCCTTGAGCTCCGGACTTTCCAGCATGGTTATTGCCTGAAGAGGAGGATGGGATATACCTAGAAGATGATGAATAGAAGTACGTTGGCTGAGGATTAGATGAGTGTAAACTGATTGGATGGTAAGCCTCAAGAGAAGCACAATGGCAAAGAAAAAAGGGAGACTTTAGAGCGTATGGTGTGTAAGTACACGACGGGTCCAAGAGATGTAAAGAAATATGTCGCCAGTCCTAACCCTACAGGCAACCTCGTACCCTAACTTCATCTAGCTACAAGGCTTACTTCACGTCAATAATATCATCCTTGCAGTTGTGTCTTTCTAGATGCTGTGCTCTACACTCACTCTCTCCACCTCGGTCAAGATTTCAAGGTATGTATAAGTCGGACCAGCTACTCAATCAACAGACATGATCCTTGGCCAATTTCATGACATCATTTAGGTCGCTTTATAAGCCTTTCTGTTTCATTTCTTTCTGAGTTTGAAATCCAGGAATATCGCTGTAAGTTTTGAGTCTTACCTTGAATGAAATGAGGGCCAACCACCACTAACATGTTTAGCTATACTAGGCCTCCACATTCCTACTCCACTATCTCCGTTCGCTTCATATAATAATGACTCAAACCAGGAACATGCAAAGATCTTACAGGGACCTGGGTGGCCAGAGGCGGAGTCAAAGGCAAAGCTTGCGACGGGGACTGCCAGCACATATGGCCACCGGAGGTCAAGTGGCAAAGAAAAATCTTAGATATTTGGTAAATCGTCGGAGCAGACCTAGGCAAAACGCCAATAGACGTTGTCGTAGGTCAGGTGGTGAGTAAAATTCTCTCGCAACTTCCTGGATATTATGACTAACCATAATAGTGACTGCGCTTCAGGAGATACGAAAATATCAAAGCTCAACAGACCTGCTTATAAAACGCGTTCCTTTTGCCCGGTTAGTGAAAGAGATACTTCAGGACACCTCCTACTATCAAGAAGAAGGGCCATTACGGATACAGGCTGTAGCAATGGGTGCTCTTCAAGAAGCAGCAGAAGCATACCTGGTCAATGAATTCTCGAGTATGTTATTGGCATGAAGTTCTTGGAAATCTCATACTGACTTATATAGTGGTTAATCTTTGTGCCATACATGCAAAGCGGGTTACCATCATGACCAAGGACTTTTCTCTGGTAAGGCAGATACGGAACGGGGTGCTGGGAAAGAACGTGGAAATAGGTATGAGAAGATAGAGTTAAATAAATACATGTTCCACACTTCCTATCCAAGTTGGATTCTATTAACTGTCTATCTAGTACTAGCAATTGAACACCGAGCTACTCGCTCTATTAACATGTCCGTCAAGATGTGATTAATATGGAATTTTTGATGGCCATCGACCCGAGCAATTTAACCATATTAATATTTCATTGAACCGTGCTAGATGTGTATGTCTCATCTGCTTGCTAGCGCTACACCCTATCTGTATTGCTGATCACATGCCTTTGTTGCCTTCATCATTGCCTTCTACTGCCAAACCAACACTTATCACATTCAATTTCTGCTTCATGGCAGCTCTTTCATGGATTTTCCAGTGTATGGTGGATGAATACTGTGCCGGGATGATGAATTCCTATCTACCGCTTCAAGCACTGTTTTCCCCACGCCATGATGAATGGTCACCTTCATTGTCCAGCTGTGGCGTCCTCTCATATAAAAGGGCCTCTGGGCCACGCCAGGAAGGTCTTCTCCCTTTTCCCTTGTGCTATATTCTATGACTCTACTGAGGCTCTAATCTATGCAGTGTTGATGATTTCTGATTCTTCGCTGCTGATGTTTGCAGACCTTCTTGCAGAGTGATTTTCCATTTGCTTTCGTTCAAAAAAACAGAATCAGAAATTCGATAATAAACACAATATCACTTCAAATTCCATTATATCGGTTCATTTTAAGAATGTGCATTAAATCTTGGAACCATATACGATCTAGATCTAGAGCTGCTTATTGCTATAGCAAATGGATAATACAAACTAACAATAAGAGGCTACAACGCAAATGATCTCGGTCTTTGGAGGTGCTCGAGAGATATAAACAAAAGAATAATAACATTTTCTTGGAGACAGCCTCTTAGAGTCCAAATTGTCTCCTGGCTGGTAATGGCTCGTTCTCGGTCGGTAAGTGCTATCTTTTCTCTATGCAAGATTGTTGTTTCTTGTTGTTACTGACGTCTGTATTAGCTTAGAAGTTGTTGAATGGATGCTAGAACAATTTATGCAAAGTCTAAGTCAAACGCTACATTTATTCCTGATACAGACAGCACCATCCGTTGCTTCTACAAGAAGCTGTGAACATTACAACTTCAGCAGAAACTTCTCTGGTATAGTCCCAACTCTCGCTGTTGAAAACACTAGAGGCAAGCTACAGCTTCATTAACATCACCCAGCATCATTGAACGAGGGGCTGTCCTATTTTTGGTCCAATTTTTAAGAAGACTTTGCAATGGACGATGGGAGACTTCCATGGAGGTAAGTGTTATACTCATCAATTTAAAGAACTTATACTAATTCCTTCAAGCAAGAAGACTAATGCCTCCAAAACTGGAGACCGGGGTCTACCTTCAGAAAGAAGGAGAAAAAGCAAGATCTATGTAATCCCTTGGGTATCTTGAGCTCAGAGGAGAGCTTAAGAAAGGTCCAGCCTCTCACAGATGTAGCATCCACCTGGGCCACATACGACTTGGAGAATAATCACAGAACATGGTCTCATCCCCTTGCTCATGCGACCAGAGGTTCAGCCGGCTGTACATCAAGGAACTTTGGCAGGCGGCACAATGTTAAAGTGGAATATCTTGCCATCCTGGAGTTGATTTTAAGTCAATGCAATCCTTGCTCCGCTTTCGAAAGGGACTCAAAGGCCTTATACACAGACAGAGCAATTGGATGAGGAGAGGGAGTATATAGATAGCATGAATAGAGGGAAGATGAGAAAACTCCTTGAGCAGAGGGAATCTCCACAACCAAGCCCGCAAAGAGGCATTAATTTCATACAGTATCCTTACGAGAAAACTAAATAAATTATATCTCTACTGCTGAATTCAAGAACATTTTCTTATACATCATGAAAGCTTCAACTGTTGATTATATGTGATTTATATATACTATGCCAATATATACCAACCGTATCATATTATTTCCAAAGCTGGATATGCTTTAGGGTTGTTGGCAAAAACCCAGCCCTACCCTACCCATCTAGTAGGCTTCAAAGCTTCGACCCTACCCTGCTGTAGGGTAGCCCTATAAGTGGGCCATGATTGCCAAAACCCTACCCAACCCTACCCTTTCCGCAGCCTA